TTTTGACTTCTTCTTCTTCGAACTTGAATGGCTAAAGAGAGAGTTTAGAAAGCTTGCTAGTCTCCCACCAGGTGAGCTTGGTTGTTTGTACTTCTTCTCCTTTGTAACATGCTTTTCAACTTTGTAAGAATGTTGGGGAAAATGTTCGGGGAGATTAAGGATGTTCTTCACCTATGTCGGAAAAAAAAACATGGTTAAATTTACGCCCGAACTTCAATAATGGGACTCGAACTTCATATTAAGATCGAAAACCTGCATGTCTAAGCTGATTCTCCCTTTGATCCATCCTTTGTCTTTCTTCTTCACTTTCGGAGTAAACTTTGCGCCGAAACCGTTCATTGTCGCCGAAGTTTCATTGTAATCGGAGAAATATCGAGCAGCTTCGAATACCTCGAGCTCCTTTGAAGCTCTCCTATGGTGGAACATCTTCTTATTGATCATCTCCGAGCTCGAGAGCGACATCTTTGTTCTTCGTAAGGGCGAGCTTGTTGTGCAAAACTTGGTGTAAAAAGCTATATATATGGAAGAATTGAAGGACATAAGAGGGATCTTGGGAGATATTGAAGAGTGTGAGAAATGGAAATGAATTAAGAGGAAGACCCACATGAAAATGAAAGGCAATTGTGCTTTAGGAGGCATAGATGAATGTGGGGAAGGGTCAAAAACAATCTTCCCTTTGCCCTTATACACGAACTAATGGCTTAGGGTTTTGCTACCTCAGATTCTATCAGTGGGTCTCGGTTTCTTTCAAACGGGGTATTGATTTTGAAATACGTATTGATTTTGAAATCTTTGACCAGTCAAACCTGATGTTTTAATCCACTAGAGCAAAACCAGCCACTACAAGACAAAAGATTATATACACGCTCATCATATCTGATCGGGTTAAGAAGCTAAATCGATCCAACCAAACATCGAAAAAAGTGCCGTTATTTTAAGATTATTTAATTAGAGTTGGATGTCTTTAATGAAAAGGAAAGTTTTGTGTTTGTAAGGGTGGCCCCACTCATATCTTGGTGCTCCTCTTTAGTGGGTCATTTGGTTGTGAGCTCTTTTTTGAGTCTTCTTTTGAATTTTCATTACGGTTTATTTGGATTTGGATTTTACCCCAAACAACCTCTTAACCCTAGTGCCCTACCATATGCCCTTGCCACCCTATAATTGTATCGTGTATAGACGTGTCGATATCAAACCCGAGATATTATTCTTAGATATTCTTAAAAGATATTATTGCTAATATGAATACGTTCAGTGGATAAAGCATTTATTATTGTTCATCGATGTTAAGGTCTCGATCTTCCATCCCGATAGTAAATTTCGATGGAATTTCGTATTTGAGGGCAAATTCGTCATTTTCTAATTAAGTACTAAAATGATATTTTAATCTGGAAATATCTACGATGTTTAGTCTTTTTTGTCCGTGAACAAGTCAAGTGAAAATTATACCCTAAAAGATGGTCGATGTCTTAATCACGTGATTAAACGAGCACGTATGACACTCATTTAGTACATTGCACCCGTCATTATCTTAAAATCACTTTTTAAGGGTTTTTTTTTTTTGAAGTATAATTAATCTTGATATTAAAAAATGATCATTATTCTTTTGGGCCTTGTTAATGAAGTTGGAGGCCCAAAACTTATTACGCTATTGGGCTAAGCTTTGGAATTGGATTTTCAAAAGAGGCCCACACAAACATAAATCATGGCCTTGTAAAAGGGAGCATTTTTTCCTATGAAATTAAATAATTTTTTTTCCTATGAAATTAGTTTTTTCCTATAAAAATATTACCAATTTTAATATATATATATATATATTATATATACGGAATAAAATAATAAAAAATTGTTTTGATTTATAAATAATTATTTAGGGACTTGATCTACGTGTCAAGTCGTAATGACAGCTGGAGTGGAGCATAGGCTTTTGATGTCAGCAGGGCCTGCCTTTCACATACAAGATCGTCTGATTAGACTCTTAGCCAATCATTTCTCGACACGTTTTCTTTCTCATTTCGGTTGTCTTTATTCTTTTACCTTTTTTCCCTCATTCCTTGCCATATTAACAAAAGTACCATGTTTTTTTTTTTTAAATTAAATTACAATTTTTTTATTATTTTTTTATTTTTATATATTTAGTTTAATTGAAATTTCAAATTTATATTTATTAATAAATAGGACTATGGAGAGGGCAATATAATTAATGTCAAATATTTATCAAACATAAAAAAATTTTAAAAAATTATTGCTATATTCAAATATTAAATTAAATTAAATACCATTTTTATTACCAAACTAAATATAATTTTTATTTGATTATTACACTTTTAAAATTTAGTTTCTTATATTAGTTGGGAAATATTTTTTTCTTTAATTTTATTAAATCTCACATTAGTGTAGAGAACTCAACATGCTCTATGAATAAGTGAAAATCTCTGGTAGACATATTTTAAAATCATGAAATTGATGATGATACATGATGGGTCAAAACGGACAATATTTGTCAGCAGTGGGCTTGAACTATTACAAATGATGTCACACTGATGATACATAATGGGTCAAAACGGACAATATTTGTCAGCAGTGGGCTTGAACTATTACAAATGATGTCAAAGTAAGACACTGATGATGATACATGATGGGTCAAAACGGACAATATTTGTCAGCGGTGGGCTTGAACTATTACAAATGATGTCAGAGTAAGACACTGATGATGATACATGATGGGTCAAAACAGACAATATTTGTCAGCAGTGGGCTTGAACTATTACAAATGATGTCACACTGATGATACATGATGGGTCAAAACGGACAATATTTGTCAGCAGTGGGCTTGAACTATTACAAATGATGTCAGAGTAAGACACTGATGATGATACATGATGGGTCAAAACGGACAATATTTGTCAGCAGTGGGCTTGAACTATTACAAATGATGTCAGAGTCAGACACCAAATATAGTGTTAGTGAGGTTGTTGAGCTCCCAAGAAATGTGGAGACGTGAAAACTCAAATATAACCTTATAAATGAATATACGTTGCAATTCATATTTTTTACTATAAATATAGTCAAAACCTTCAACAATAATTCAAGAATCCAAGGCATTATTTAATATGGTACAATAATATTGGTTCCACCATATTTAGAGCATGGTGTATTTATTATATAGTCCTAGTACTTATAGACTTAGGGTTAGACTATATTTTTTTGTCTTTATTTTCTTATTTTATAGTATTTTAATTATAGAATATTTTTAAATATTTTTTATAGTATTGTTCTAAATAAATGTTTACATTTTTATCTAAAAATTAATAAATTAATAAATTATGCTTTAATGTCCCACATTTAATGCCTCTTATCATATTAAATAATTTCTATATCTTAACATATTCCAAATAAATAAAAAAAAACAAAATATTTAGTTCACATTTTCTCTATATAAAAAAATGAATATAATATAAATAATGAATATTTTGTAAAATACATATTTTATTGGTTAACTTTTTTTAAAAATTATTTTTCATAAATATTTATGGACGCTAATATCATATCGATATTTCTATAAAGTTGAGACCTCGGTATTTATACGCAAACGTTTTTCGCATAAAAAATCAAATTTTTAATATTTTTAAAAAATTGAATTAAAATCTTTGGTCGAAAGAAAATATTATTGCACATTAATATTCCACCTTCTTTTTTAGAGACAAAAAATAATTATCCACCATTATTTTAAAATTTTATTTTAAATAATATTTTAATTGGTTAGATGAACAGACTCTCCACAATAATATGATATTGTTCACTTTGAGTATAAGCATGGTTTTCTTTGGACTTTCCAAAAGTTTCTCATTCCAATTGAGATGGTATTATTTGATTATAAATCCTTGATAATTCCCTAAATCAGCCGATGTGAGACTTTCATCCAACAGTACTTTTTTTTTTGTAGCTCGACCGTATAAACTCCAAAATTAAGCAAAAATAAATAACGTGACCATGTTGAAGAAGAGGTAGGAAAATGCCGGGAGCATTAGATGTCAAATCTATATTCTAAATTGTGAGCATAGAGAGTTACATCTCGACTGTTTGGATCGAAGAGGAATGTATGCGACTAGGTCGAATCTATGGTTGTGTTGTTGTTCGTGTGGGGATGCAGCTACCTCATCTAATTAATAATTAAATTATAAAAGTGTTTACTAACCGATCAAATCCAACCCTAGTAGATACTGTCCGCTTTGATTCGTTACATATCGTTATTAGTCTCACGATTTTAAAACGTGTTTACTACCAAGAGTTTTTCACATCGACTCTCCAACCGATGTGAGATCTCATATTTAAAGTCGAGGTTCGATTTTTAATCCGTTCTTTAAACATATATATATATATATATATTTGATATTATCATAGGTATCTTTCCATTTATTACTATTTTCATATTCTTGTAATTCATTTGATTATAAATAAGATAACTTTCACACCTGATGTGGTGGATTAATCAAACATTCACACCATGAATCTACTTCTAATTTTGGTTTTGGGGTGGTTTGATCGGAAATAAAGGGGTTAGCTTTTGGGTTTGGTGATGGTTTGATCAGAAATGAATAACCATATGTGGGTTTAAACTTTTGGGGTTGGGGGTGGTTTGATCGGAAATGATTAACCGTACGTAAGTTTAAACTTTTGGGTTTGGTGGTGGTTTGATCGAAAATGATTAACCGTGGGTTTAAATTTTGGGGTTAGTGGTGATTTAATCAGATCGATCATGTTCTTCTTTTGACCTAATTGGTTAGTTTTTGTTGGTTTTGATAATCATGTTTTTAGGGTTTAAGGATTGAGATCTAAATGGTTTGAAATTTAAGATTAGGGTTTTGTTTTTGTATGTTTTGGAATTCCATCGAGAATTCAAATGTTTTTTTTTAACGAAACGTGTGAGTTATAGTACATAAGTCGTCTTGAAGATTGATTATACGATTATAAACTTCATGTTGCAGCATGGAGAGAATACTCGAGCGATACGAGAGATATTCTTTCGTGGGTAAGCAGCAAACCGTAGCTTTTGTATCGAAATTTTCTCAAGAAAATTTGTCACTCGAGTATTACCGACTCAAGTCAAAAATTGAACTCTTACAACGAAACAATAGGTACGTTATATACCAATGTCTTAAATGTCTATACCGATAGATTTTCGTCAACGAAATACCCGTCATCGAATCGCATCAAATTTCAAACCTTTCAAAAGCGTTTTTTTTTTTTTTTTTTTTTTTT